GCTGATAAAAACTTTTTTGGGGACTCTGGCATTCCTTTCAAAAATCACTTTTTTCAAAGAAAAGCTTCACACTCTTACCTACCATTCCATATTACATTAAATTTTACTCCTGTAATGGGCCTTGGTGGGTCATTTCCGTCTTGGTTTGCTGAGCTCCTGTTTCTCCCACAAGGGAATAAATTCTGATCATTTTGTGGTTCCCAAAGGGCTCATGTCCTAAAATAGATTCTGAAATTTTTATTAATGAAACATTTATTTTGCATATCTACCATTCTGTATTCTCTCCATATAACGCTTTACAACATAGCATCCATCAGAAAAACCATTAAACTGCTTGAATGGTGCTTACATGCAACACAATTTAATATCCCTGCAAGAACTAGTGATTTGTGATGCACATTATTCACCATGGTCGTGTATCATTCCAGATTTTAATGTTTGGAGGGCAGATGGTAACCAATATAGTGGTGAGACTAGACTGACTCCTTTGGAATACCAGTCCATAGCCTAACGTCTAGTATGGACTAACTACAAAATAAGTTTATTAAAGAAATGGCAAAATGTGAGGTATAAATGTCTGTGTTTGTAATGGAGTCAATGATTTTACAATGTTAAAATTTAGAGATTTGAAGGGAGAAAGGTTGGAAGAGGAAATATTTTCCCTCTACCCCTTGGCTAAGCCTTGGCCACTCTTTTTGCAGGTCTTCTGGTTTCACTTAGGGTTCTTAATCACAAGCAACAGAAATGGATTCTAGTTGGTAGTATCTGAAAAGGAATGACTCATGCTGTACTCTGTAGCTCACAGAATAGAGGGGAAGTCTGAAGGAGGAGGCTTGGGCAATGGGCAAGACCAAAGGTAAGCCACCAGCCTGAAATCAAGTGACATTGCAAAGTTAACCAAGGGAAAAGCCATCCTCCTGGGATACTTACTAGTGCATTTATAGAAAGAATCCTCTAAAATACTGTCTTCCAGTTTCTTGCTAGCTCTTGTGCCTAACCGAGCCCAAGTTGCACACCATGCCATACCCTCCAGGGGCACTGGGGAAACGAGTACCTGGCATTTCCCAGCTTTTATGATATAAGGTGTGGCTCTGTCTCTCACTATGGCTTGTAATGTGAGAACTCCCCAAAGGTGGGGAGGGATTCACAAGTTGGGAAGCCAAAAAAAGATCTGCGTTTGCTACACTTCCTAACTGGCCCAGAAAATGGCACCCAGCATCCTGCATTTTCCTCTCTTCTTTGACTTCTTGTCACACCTGCAGCGACCAGCTCAATGCTGAATAAACACAACTGTTGCTTATCATCTGTCTCAGACACTTTGAAATCACCAAGGAAGTACCCACCATCACAACTCTTTGGTCTATTCCTAGTAAATTCCGTAAGTACAATGATTCCAAAGCCATCCTCTAACCCTCACTGTACCCCGTAGAATTTAATTCTGTGCATGTATTCAGGAAAGTCTAACACAAACTTCTGGTTAAGAACCATGTTTTAATTTTCCCCATTTCTCCCAGCTCCTTTATAAGCCATGTCTATTTTCTGAAGGCCCAGCCTGACCATTATCAGTGTCAACCAATGACCCTTCCTTCAAAGACAACTAAGGGAAAAGCCATCCTACTGGAATACTGGGAAAACCAAGGCAACAGATGTAAATCCACTCAATGGCTCTCTCCTGAGACTTCAACTGGAAATTCCTGTCTTTACCCATTCCATCCCTGTGCCCTGCTTCATTCTTCTTCCTTTCCAAGGCTAAACAGCCCGTGATGCTAACCTAGATGCCTTCTGGTCTAATCCAAGACTTTGCCTAACGCTTGTTTTCCCTTTTGACTGATTTTGGCCTTACTTCTGTGTTACCTAATACCTTTTGACCGCACCCTATATCACTTTAGTCTCTAGCTTGACCTAAAATCCTTCAGCTAGGCTCTGCTTCCCAAAGACTACCTTCCTATTGCCATCTTCGTCTTTCACAAAAATCTGAAAGGAGGAGTCTGTACTCTCTCTTCTTCCCCTTCTCTCCTAAGTGTTTCCAGGCCTACCCTCTGGACCCGCTGCTCTCCAATGTCACCCTGGCTTCCTGATTTCTGGAGCCAGTGGGTTCCTCTTAGTCTGCACCCTCCTTGGCCTCTTAGAAGCATGTGACTCTGTTGAAATCCCCTGTCCTCCTGCTGTGGCTTTTGGTGCAAATCCCTCCTGATTTTTCCTCCTGCTTCTCAGGTGATCCTTTATCAATCTCCTTTGCTGGACTTTGTGCTCTTCTTCTCTGTTTTCTCATCCTGCCCATTCTCATTTCTTCAGCTATAATTGTGAAGTGACTGGCACTTAGATACATGGCCCAAGCCTGGTTCTTCTATTCTGAAGTCCAGATCTTTCCAACAGTGCTGCAGTCCGGCTGCAGCAAAATAACCGAGGGGTGACGAGCAACTTGTGTACACTGATACAGCAGGAGTGGAAGCCGTTTATTGTAGGACAGGAGCAGTATTTATACATTCCACACCAGCTTATCTAATTAGCATAAACTAGATACATCAGTCAACCAATCAGGAATCTCCACACTTAATGGCTGGCTTTTGTTACTTCTCAAACCACTCCCTCTGGCATTTTGCCAGGCACCATCCAGACTTGTTTACGAACTCTAACATTCCCCTGGCAAAATGCCAGGTGTTATTTTGACTTGTTTACAGACTCTAACACAACAGATCACATCTAAAGGGTGCCCAGGCCCTTTTCCTTCCCATCTCCCTTTCCATCCCATCTTTTAAAAATTTATTGAGGCTAAATATACATGATATAAAATTTACTATTTTCTCCATTTTTAAGTGTACAGTTTAGCAATATTAAGTACATTCACATCATGTGCCCCATCATTCCTTTTTGATGCCTATAGAGCTGAGGGGGAAAGGACCATTTCTTGTTTGTTTCTTCCTGGGGCCTGCCACACCTCCCTGTCACTGGCGACCCTGGTGTTTAATGGCTAAGAACATAGGCTCTGGGAGTTCTGCTCAGAGTTTGAATCCCACATCTATGACCCTGGCTGAGGTTCCAGCCTCAGAGTGGCCTCACTTCTGCATCTTGGTATTCTCTGCTTTTGTTTGTTATACATTCTCCTGAAATAACAGCTTTGTTTATTTGTGAGGAACTCCCTGCCACAAATAACTTGTCCTGCAAGGGCTCAGGCTGGAAACAAAGAGAAAATGCAACATTTGAAGAAACTTACCCAGAAAGTACAAGTTCCTGATACATTGGAGCGGGATGTCACACTTTGGCATTAGCTTAGATTTATGACACAAACAGCTCCACCAACACACTTTATGAAGAAGAGAAAACAATCCCTCATTTAAAATGCTTAGGTGAGGGCTTTCATCCTCAGATCTCCCAGTGATTGCTCATCAAGTGACAGTTAAAAATCTCTGAAAGTTGAAAGGGCGATTCATTTGAAATGGAAAGAATTTGCCCAGAAAACAGATGATTGGGGGCTGAAATTTCATGTGCATATCTTCTAAAATGCTTTCTTAACTGCTGCACTTATAGAATCATATGGATCCAAAGAGGCCATGTTGGTTTTTTTTTTTTTCTTCTTCTTCTTCTTCACAGTATTTATTGCATTCTATAGGCGAAAGTTTTCTTATGAATGTTGGGGATTCTAGCAAGTCCTTACTGATTGTTGAGAGGCATTTTGTTTACTTTCAGCTTTTCTTTCTTTTTAGTTTTTTTTTTTTTAGTTGTAAATAGACACAATGTCTTTATTTATTTATTTTTAGGTGGTGCTGAGGATTGAACCCAATGCCTCACACGTGCAAGGCATGTGCTTTACCACTGAGCTACAGCCCCAGGCCTGCATTTATTTCTTTTATGGATCAAGTCTTATCCATCCGCATAATCACCCCAGGAAATGTCACAAAAGACTCACTTTAGTATAGAAGACCCTCAAAGGTTACCAATACAGAATGTCACAGGATAATAATAAAAGCAGATTTCTGTAACGCCTTTTACAATATACTTTATTCCTTTGTAAGGATACTTCTTTGAGGTAATTCTGGGATCCTCCATGTTTTTTCCAGATGAGAAAACTGAGGTTCAGAGTGGTTAAGTGAGTTGCCCAAGCTTTCACAGCTGTCAAACTGCCCAACCCAGCCTAGCCAGCACTCCAGGACTGCAAACTCTCTGCTTAAGCCACATTTGACCTCACCAGAAGGGTAACTGGACCATTTGGAGATATACCCTGCCCTCAGCTGACTAGATGCTTGAGGACCCTGCCATCTACAGCATGTGGGCGAGGCAGCTCTTCCCTGTTGGATACTTCCCAGCAAGGAGCCCAAGCATCTGGCGTGAGCCAGAAGGCGCCCAGAATACTCGGCGGCCGCAGCCCGCACGTAAGGGCACGTGCTGGGGCCCCGCATTCTGCCAGAGTCCCTTCCACTGGCGTCTGCTCAGCGGAGGCTCCACCTTGGTGGGCTGCGGCCCCAGCGCGCGCGTATCCACCGAGTCGCGAGCCGTGCGCCCTGGAGGCTGGTGGAGCGGCGCGTCCCAGGTGCCCAATCTCGCGCGCGTCGCCTGTTCGCGTCCTAGGGACCCTCCGCGGCGGCTGTCCCGGCTTCTGCTGCCTGCCTGGAGCCGCCCGGGCCGCGGCCACGGGTCCCCCACACTCCAGGGGCGGAGCGAGGCGCCGAGACGTCAGGGCGGAGGACGAGCGCGGGGCGAGCGCGCCCTCCCGGCGGCTGCCCGCAGCCCACGTCCCCGGCTGGCGCTGCCGGCGGCGACCGTGAGATGCAGTTAGCGGCGGCGCTGGGGCGCAGCCAGGCGGCCGCGCGGGCGGGGACCAGGGGCTGAGCCCGAAAGACAGCCGTGCGCACAGCTCTGCCTGCTGCCCCAAGCGACCCCGCTGCCTGGGCTCTCCTGGGTTCTAGCTAAGCCCCCCGGGGTGCACGTCAATTTCCTTGGGTGACTACAGCGTGTGTTTTGTTTTTCTTTCCTCTTTCTCCTGCCTGGGTGCCCTTCTCCAGGATGGCAGAAGCGGAATTGCACAAGGAGAGGCTGCAAGCCATAGCAGTAAGTCCACTTTCATTTTATTTTCTTGCTCTATTGTCTGGGGTGGACGGGGACCCGGAGGGTTTTGGGGTGACCGGCATGCCAGCGTGGAAGCCTCGGGCCATATGTTCCCGGGTAAAGTCTGTCAACCCTCAGCGACGTTGTCTTTTCCTTCATAGATCTGTAGACCTAACCCCCCAGGGCGCATTTAGGACTGGGGATTTGAACGTGAAAGATTGGCTTAGAAATAAGATTCTTGACGCTGGGCTTTGGGGACAGACTACTCAGGCTTGGGGGACGACTCCTGGAATATTATCACCCAGTGCTCAGGAATTCACTGGCTTCGTATGCTGGAGAAGGGAGAGAAGGATGACCTGAACGGAGGCTGCCTTCCTCTGCGGAAGCCGTTGGCCTGTTAAGTGGAAAACCAGGAGCCAGCTACTGGGTCAGCCAGCCACGCGGTGGACCTCCTCCCAGAAACCGGGAGTGTTACTCTCCCCTTCTCTATTTGATATTGACAAGGCCCTGGCCCAAGCCACCACCCTAGAGGGGTCTGAGGACTTCTAACAACTGCTGGATCCTGAGAATAATATTCCAGGGGAACCTCTTCTCTGTGGGGTGTGGATTATCTGCAGACCTCCTTTCGGCATGCAAAAGAGCAACTGGGTTTGGCAAAGTTCATATGCACTCTCAGAAAAGTGCACTCATGTGCATCTTGGGTACAAAAAATAACTCTCTGAGACTGCCTAGATTTGAGCAGTCTTGCCAGAGTGTTGCCAATGATCCACAGATGTGGTATTTTTACTGGAGCCACCACAGCTGGATTATATATTTCCTTTGTGGATGAGGGAATGATTATGGCTGTTATTTGAAATAAGAACAATTAAAAGAGAGGTCTGTTAACATAGAAGACTCTCCAGATATTCTTATACCTAAGTCCTTTTCTTTCCCTTTTTTTTTTTTTCCAGTCTAGGAGTTCCCTGGAAACACTTATAAATTTGTTGGAGAAATACTGTGTATACTGTGTAATGTTTTGGAAGTGAAGTACATGAAAGTATTTTCAAAAGCCTTTGGGCAGATTCTTCTTTGGGAAAATGCACAAAGGCCCAACTTTTTAATTTTTTTTTTTTTTTAAGAAGCATTTGATGTGGTCTTGGTGGCTCTGAGACCTCCTTTCTCAAACTCTTCAAATGTGAAGGGTTCTGGGGACTTTCTCCCTGGAGGCTGAGAGCTGTCTGTCAGCAATGCTGAAATGCTATGGTTTGCCTATGAGGCTGTCTTCTCTCCCTTTCCCCCTTGCATGTGGATTTGGATGGTTAATGAAATTGTTCATGGTTTCTACAGTTATTGGCAAAGCAGTGTGGCAGTTTGTCATGAACTTGATAAGAATGGGGATATTCAGCTATTGGTGCCATGGAGCTGGTGGGTGTTTTGTATAAACTGGATAATAGGCTGCTTTAACTGTTGACCAAGTGGCTGCTCCAGAGAATGCTCAGTCGCTCCCATGGGCTGCTGTTGACCGTTTGCAACAGTTGTCACATTTTCTGCCTTTGCATGGGCAGCTTCCCCGGATGCCTGAGGGACAGCTGAACCCCATGAAAGGACTTACTTTCTAAACACAGAGCCAGCAGCAGCTAATTCTGGGGCCACCCCCTTTCAAGTGGAGTTGAAGAATCCCAGCAGAGGCCAAGCAGATTTTCAAGAAAGATCTAGGCCATCTTTTAGAAATCTCTTGAGTGTGTGAGAAGATAAATACCCACTCGTGCCTATTCAGTGGGGGGATTGAGTTTGTCCTGAGGACCTGTGGAGCTGTTGATAATTCTCATGAGTGGGTCAACATCGGTGAACATGAATGTGGTCAGTAAAGATTTTCTAACAGTGACATCATTGTGTGTGGGGGGGAGGGGATTAAGAGACAGAAGGGTCTGGGGGAACCTGTGGTCACATGAGTAGATGGTTTTATGCCACACTTTGGCCTAGAGCACGCTTTCCAGATTGGGCGAACCCTGCCTCTCTCTGCCATTTTCCTAGAGTTCTCAGGGGACCCTGAGGAGCTCATAAGTCTCTCCCAGAGCCTAGCAGGCCTGAAGTCTCTGAGGACATAGGAGGGAAGATAAGAATGAGTTCCTCACATCTTCGCCTGCTTCTGGGTCTTGGGCAGTCCTGAGTCTGGGCCTCAGTTCTATGACACGGGCCATGGGTTTTGCCTCCTGGGCTGGCTTAAGGGCCATGAAGAGGCAGGTGAAGCACCTGGCATGCAGCTGCCATTACTTGATGCTGACTGAGGCGCAGCCCTCGGTTCCTGTCTCCTCTGCTGCCTGGTCCTGAAAGTTTAGGAGCAACAACTCTGAAGTGGGAAAACCAGGGACATCCTTTTTTTTTTTTTCTCTTCTTGTCTTCAATTCTAAGTGAAGGCCAGGGAATCGCCCAGCGTCACTTTCTCTAAGTGCTTCAGGCAAGGGGTGGCGCTTAGGGTTCATTCACCTATTCATTCAGCAGGTGCCTCCTCCTGGATGATAGGCTGCTTTAACTGTTGACCCAGTGGCTGCTCCAGAGAATGCTCCACGGGCTGCTGATGACCATTTGCAACAGTTGTCCCCCCGGGAAGGGACTGGCAACACTGAGAAGATGTGTCCCCAAATTTCAGCCGTAAGAAGAAAGATTTCACCCTTTGAACACTTAGTTTTCGAAAGGCCGAGGTGTCCCGTGTCCTGAGGTATATGTTACATGATCATGTGTGGGATTCCCCCCGCAAAGGGAATTAAATACTTAGAAACTACAGAACCATAACTGAACCTTCCATCTGAGTCCAGAGACAATCAATGAGAGAAGATGGCTTTTGTCTTATTTCCTTACAAAAGACAAGCAAGCTCATCTGACGACTGTCTCCACTCCCACCCTGTATGCCCCTTTCATCTCTTGGCACACTCCAAGAGCTTTAAATTTATAATATACAGAACGTCTCTGCCACCGAACAAACATGAATGGTGATTCCAGGGAATAAGAATAATTGCCATTTGTTGAACCTCAAACATTCAGCAAGGCACCGAGTGAAGTTCTTTATTTTTTAACCTACACTTGTTTAGCATCTCATGGAGATAAAAGAAAAGTGCATAAACAATTGCTGTACCTTACACATCTGTGAGCCCGTGAGCACACTTGTGGGACATGCCAGCCAACTTCAAGGACTCTTCCTGAAGAAGCGGCATTTGAGCACATCCTGAAAATTGGGCAAAATAACACAGAACTAATGTCAGAACCTCCCCAATTACTAGAGGGCATTGGTTGATTGGTTGTTTGTTGATTATTTATTTGAAAGGGAAAGCCCAAAGCACTAAGTTGAGTCAGTAGCTAGTGGCACAAACTCAGTGACAGGGCTGACATGCTTTTCATCACATATTTTCTTGCTTTAGCCTATGAGCAGGCTGACGAAGTGGGCCTGATTCTGTTCTGCTGTTCTAAGGATGAGGAGGTTGTAGAACTGGCCCAGCATTAAGCAGGTACCATCCAGGATTCAAACCCACACCGCAGGCCACTGGAGCCTGTATTTGACTACTCCCCTGAACAACCACCCACTTTTGGTAGTAGCACCTCATTTTTCCTGTGAGCCCACCATTCAGGTGGTTCCCCAGCCCCAGTGAGAGCCCACGAGACAGCAGCAGACTGCTTTCATAGCATTGGCAGAACCTGAGGTAAACCAGGAGGCCCCCATCTTTTTTGAGAGTCTTCCAAGCCTGGGTTCACTGCGCAGAAACACCCAACGTAAACCAACCAAATGAGTAACACTCTCTAGGGGAAGGAGCTGTGGAGTCTCTGTGGAAGCCAACTTCGGGGGAGGGTGTTGTTATGTCTACACATCCAAGGAAGGGATAATTTTTCTTGAGCATGAGTGAAAATAGTGAAATGTTACAGAGGTCCTTTTGGGTAAAAGCCCTAAAAACCACAAGGACAAGGCCACAGGCCAGCCCCAGGGACCCACATGGGTGTGTTTATGTGTGCTGAAATATGAAATGTAAATCTAACCTACACTTGTTCTTTAGGGAATTTGGTTATTTACTCAGAACCCACAAGTAGAATAGTAAAAAAGTACTTTTGCTTTTGGACGGTGCTTCTCAGTTTGCATAAGCCTCGCACAGGCACCCTTTGCTCTGAGGTGCGTAGGGCAAGCCTTGTTTTCTCCACTGTACAGTGGAGTGTCCAGAGATGTCCACGCTCACACAGTGAGAGATGGAAGCATAGCAAGTCCCAGTCTCTCCTGACTCCCGATTCCCTGTGTTGGTGACACATTCAGCCTTGGTAGGGTGCTTGGACCTAGGCTGGACCTGCCACAGATACTCCTGACCTGAAGTTCACTGGCTGGAGGAGAGGGGTGGGCCTGAATGTGCCTCTGTGAAATCAGTCTTTCTGTGGCTCTCACTTTGAGTATCTCTTCATTGAAACTCTCACCTAAAGGGGGCAGTGAGTGAACTCTCACCAGGTTTGGAGCTCTGTCCTGAGTGGGCCTGGGTGTAGGTGGTTGACTTAGGTTGGCTGTGCCCTGGACTCCCAGAGAAATATTTGTGGGCTTCTGCTTGGATTCATCTTTTCATGCCTCTTCTTACCTTGGGGTGATTATATCTTGGGTTCCAGGTTTGAAGTGGGGACACAGGGACCCAGGAGGCTACCAGCTTGATCCATGCCATTGAGATTGGCCTGCATTGGCTGGGCACAGGTCCTTGCTACCATTTTCCTATAACCAAGCCCAGCATCCCAAGTCAGGGATTTCTCAGAGAGGTTGGAGAGCCACAACCCAGCCCTAGTAACAAGTGTGTATTGTGTGGGGACCATCTCCATACATGTCCCATGTGGCATTGGTGAACTGCTGACAAAGGACTAGAAAATTTACCATCCTAGTCATTAATCTGTTACCTACTTCCATTTCAAAAACATAGATGTCACTGTATTTCTAAGTTCCATGTGAAGGCCTAAGAAATGGTTTTCTGGGGATATTGGTACTTGTCATATGATCAGGTTCCCCCTGG